ATTATTCTAATAAGTTGAGTTGAGAATTGAGTTGAATGAGTTAAAAAGTTCACAAGTCACATGTACCTGAGGCTTAAGGTTGGGTTGCACCAAAGTTTTGCCAAGGTTTTTTTCAGATTTTCTATTGGAGTAAAATTGTTAGGATCGAGCTTCATTTAAACAAATTTCTCATTTTCTTTGATCTACATTAAATAAATCTTACATATAATAAGGTTTTAATATTGGCAAATCGACAATTATTTTTAAAGAAATTAAATTTTAAATAATTGATATTAAATATTTTTTATATAAAATAAATGTTTTTTTAATACTTATTTAAAATTTTAAAATTGATATTAAATAAATATCTAAAATCATGATTCAAAGATTTATATGCATTTTTTTTAACATTTTAAGATTTATTTTAAGAATTCTTCATTATATTTATAAGTATAAAATAAACTCTATAAAGAAATTTAATAAAAAACTATAATAATAGTCTTTAATAAATAATAAAAGTTTTTTAATAATTTAAAATAATATATAAATAAAAATAAATATCTTAATTATAATTATGTTTTTGATTAAAATTGCAAATAAATTATTATTAAAATATAAAGAAATATTTAGTAGATAATAAAGATATTTATAAATATTAATTTGTAAAAAATCTAATTTTATATTAATACTATTTTAATATTTAAAGAAAATGTATTTAAATCATTCTAATAAATTATTTATATTATTTGAAATATTATATCAACAAATAGAATTAAAATAAAATAATTATTAGAATATTTAAATATTACAAATAATAAAATTATAAATAAATTAAAAGATTTTAATATTTGGTAAAGCTGGGTTCTGCGGAGCTGGGCTAATCCCATTTAATCCGGAAATTGTATTTTCAAAGCTAGATATTCGAATAAGAACTCTATCAAATAGATCAATATCAGCCGATCCTAATATATAACAATCTCAAACATTTCACAATCCAATTGAAGCTCTTTCTCAATCCACTTTAATGAAAAGTCGTATTGCTCAACATCAAGGGAGCTCACCTACTCCAATATTTAAAACAATTGCAGCTTTAGCTAAGGATATAGAGCTTTTAACTTATGTAAATACACTTTTAACTGCTGAGGTTCATAGTCTCTACAAAACAAATGAAGTATTTAGTAAACGCTGAAGAGCTAGAAAAGCTTTAATACGAAAAAGAGAAGTACTTTCAGTAGAAGATAAACATAATATATTAGAACAAGAGAATGTAGAAGATCAGATACGACGCAATGAATTTACAAATGGTGATTCTTCAGCAAGGAGGCAAGCTACTATACGATGATGTAGCAAATGTGGTAATGCTTCACATAATGCACGAACTTGTCAATTAGATCCAGCATTAGTTGATCTTTGAATTGTATATAATTTAATTCTAATTTATAGTATTGTTGTAATTTTATTTCAATGGAATGTGGGCAATTGAGGTAAAAGTGTACAGGGTCCTGATATGTACAGGGTCCTGATAAACCACGTTAATTCAAATTTCAGCAAATTATATTTATAAATAAGAAAGTTATAAATGACGATTTTCGTCATTTTTCGTGAGGAAAAGTGGCCAGAATTAGGGGTGGCCGGAAAGTAGGGTACTAGACTTAATAATAATAATAGTAATATTTATTATTATTTACTCAATTGATCAATATTCTTCTAAGATACTTTTTTTGATAATTAAAATAAAATTATTCAAAAATAAAATTTATTATTTAAAAATATACATATATAAGTCTAATACCATATTTCTCGACCACCTTTAATCTCGATTATCTTTTTATATCAAAAACAACAAAAATCGATCTCTATAACTTTCTTACTTGTAAATCTTGTAAATATAGTATTTTGAAATCTTAAATAGAAAATTGTTATTTATATAATAGTAAAATCTGAAAATTTCAGATTTTCTATGATTTTATTAATTGAGATATTAATAATTCAAATTTATATTTTCAATTTGTATATAATTTATATACAAATTTGAAAATCATTGAAACTTGAAATAAATTTTTTCAAATATTTATTACAATTGATTGAATATATAGGTATTTTAACTTTTAAATTTTTATAAAAATCAAAAATTATAATATTTTAATTAATTGGATTTCTATTAATGATTTTATATAGTTAAATTAAATTAATAAATTTTGATTTAAAAACTTTAAAAAAATTTATAGTTTATTTTTAATTATTTTTATTGAAAAGTTATTTAAGATTATAATAATTTTTTAAATTTCTGTATAAATATTATATAAATTAAAAGTTTAAAAATTAAATTTTTTAGATTTGAACAAAATCAAATCCAAAAAATCCAAAATCTTTAGAATTTATTAACAATTATATAATTAATTCATAATTCAAATTTTATTAAATTATATTAATCAATTATAAAATTATTAATAAATCTAATATTCTACTTCTCGATCGCTTTTCTCAATTATCTTTTTATATCGAAAATAATAAAAATTAATCTTTATAAATTTTTTATTTATAAATATAATTCAATGAAATTCGAAACATAGATTTTTGATTTATATAATAATAAATCTAAAAATTTCAGACTTTTTACGATTTTATTAATCGAGATATTTAACTTTTAAACATTTTCAATTTTGTATATAAATCTTGTATAAGTTGAAAATCAAAATTTGAATTATTAATATCTCGATCAATAAAATTTTGAAAAATCTGAAATTTTTAAAAATCATTGATAATTATATAACCAATTTATAATTAAAATTTGGATCAATTTAATCTATTAATTATTGAAATAGTAATAAGTGAAAATCATGATTTTCGATATAAAAGAGTGACCGAGATTAAAAGTGGCCGAGAAGTGGGATACTAGACTTAGCTGAAAATGATGATTTTAAACATAAAATAATGATCGACATTAAAAACAGTCGAGAGATAGAATATCGGACTTATATTCAATTTCAATTTTTTTTTTAAATAATTTTGTTTTATATTCAAATTTTAATAAATATTTTATTATTGTTATTTTGTTTTATAATTATTATATAATAATATTTAAAAAGAAATTGATTTATTAATCTAAAAACATTTAATATAAATAAATATTATTTATGTATTCTGATATAGTTAATGATTTTATTCTTTTTGTTAATTTTATTTCTTGATTTATAATCAATCAAGATAAATTACATTCATATATACTAAATGTATATATAAACAAAACCTATTTTTTTATAAAAAAGAATTCATAATTCTTTTATATCTTTCTTTCACTTTTCATCTCTCTATCTCTCTCTTTCCTCTCGCTTTATTATAGATCCTTATTATAACTATATACCATGGTTGTCTAGTAGCTCCATCAATTCCTTCCAATTCACAGAGTTGATGGGGCGCAAGCAATAGAAACATGAGAAAGAGCCTCTGAGTAGCATTCACTTGCCTGGACTGGTGGCCTGACCTGAAGTGTTAAGTTTTCTAAACGCTGTGATTCTCGCCGGCTATTCAATGCATCTACTGTTCGAATAGCTATATGCACAATTAGATGTAAAGGTTGAGTGAATATAGTTCATGGACTTCAAAGTCCCTACCCATCCAAGTTCTTCCGCTCTTCGTTCGTTCTTCACCCCATTCTCTTTGTATTCAACTACAAGCCGCAAAGCCTAAGAAGCAGCAAAAGCTTAAAATACAACATTCATCACCACCTAGGAAAGTTACTCGTATCCAGAAACGTAGATGAGTCTTAAAGTACTAAATCGACTGTCTTATCATTCAATTTTAGGCTAATGATGGGATACTACATAACTACATATATACCCTAGCTTCCATCACAAATACGCTGAATCTCGATACTGCGAAATGAAAGATAATGACAGCTCCAAGTAGTTAGACAGACAAAAACGGTACCATAAGCGCTCGATCTTTTGATGCTGGAAGCTCATAGCATTTCCCAATCCTTCTGCACACAATCTCACCTATAACCTCCTCCAATACCATAGTGTTCACTTCAATTTAGTTGCCCCATCCTTCCCATCTCCCCTCGTCACCCTCCTTCTGATCGGGGAACTCAGATGGGGGATTCACTTTCTCAATGTCTCCCTCTGGATGGCCCCCCTCGTCAGGCGGTGCATCTTCGACATGATGCTCAAATGCTCTTTCTTTTCCGCTCTTTGCAAGAATATCCTCAGCAATACAGAATGCCAAGCCCACAATAGTTTCATTGGCACCATCTTCCGTCAAAGCCTCCTCCTTCGTCGGTCCTGGGTTAGTTGCCTTAGGCTTGATCATGGCCACCGATTTGGGTTGTTGAGGCATAGCAATAAGTTCCCATCCATCAGGCAAATATTCTTTAGTCTCATCGAGAGAAAGTAACAGTGCTCTCACCATTTGATCCGTGAGGTTGATGCCCGGAACAAGGTCGCGTAGCATATCCCATGCTGAATCAGGATCAACAACAAGCGTCCACGCGACGGGAAACAGTATGGCTAGGAATGGACCCGCCACAGGGATCATGGATATGAGATTAGTGAGTACGTCTCTGAAGAAATCATTAAGCCAGCTGGAACGCTGAGCGGGTTTCCACTGGAGATCTAATCCAAAGTTGGCTTTGGCGACTGTGAGCCACTCAACATCATATTCATGCCTGTAAGTTGTAACATTACGTATGTTCTGTGTTGCAACACTATTGTTGGGAACAATTTTGATGAGCCTAGCTGCGTATGGATTTTGTTTACGGAGTTGACGGGGAAGGGCAAGCAGTTTTAGCAGTTCATGGACGTTGAGTCCGATGGTATGGCCATGGTGAACGCCTAGACCTGTAGTGATATTCATAGCATGAGTAACCATGCTATTACCGCCACGCCAAACGGCAACAGTGCGGTTTTGAGCGAAATTTATTTGGACAAAGCAACATAGGTTCTGGTTGCTCTCAGAGGCGTAGTAGGATAGGGGAAGATAGATAGCTCGAATGTGGGCAACCATCTATCGGGAGATGGTCTTGTTAGTTATTGCCTTCTTTTACTTTCTGAGACATTGAGGTGTGTTGAATAACTTACATCTATCCAGATCCATTCACCTGGGTGAGGCATTGGCATATGCATGAACCAAGACTGAAAGGTCAGTGAATGGAGAAAAGGTAGGTTTCAGAGGAAAGGATATACCTGATCTGAAGCTCCATACCACCAATCATCAAAGGTCCTAGGATGTGTACAAAGCTCATGTTGCACTCTGGTACGGATACTACTTTCTGATGCACCATAAGAAAAGGGCAAGTAATTAAAGCCGCCATGATACGATCGTAGCAATACTCTCGTGATAGTGTAAGCTGTTCTTGGATGATCATGTCCTCTGCTATTATAGCCTGAATTTGCATCCCATGAAGAATGCGCTGGCCTATTCCAGATATATTCAACCATCATATGGTTTTTGAAATGATTGGGGTTGTTAGCATCGTAGGAATAATGAGTGGGCCGCCGAGCACGTAGACCATTTCGCACAAAGAAGCATTCTCCTTCGGGGTATGCGAGGGCCATGGTGAAGGGTCTCGAAATAACGCTTCTAAGTATTGAATGATCATAAATTGTAAGTTATGACTATAGTAGTGGCTATTGGCGACTATTTTTGCGAGATGTGAATTTTGATGTATGGGTAAATTGTTGACCTTTACATTATCTTGTTCTGTGAGAAAATCGACGGCTATAAGTATTCTCTGAGAGCCTATTACCTCCACTTGTGAAAGCCAATTCATTATCAAATGGATTGCCATAATTGGTACTTTTCCTATGATTCGATTAAATATAATGCAAATTACGTCGGCAGCATACATGTGTAACACCAAATGCTCTAATTCTGGGCCTAGAAAGCATCAGCATCAACGGACTAGAATGGTATTGAAGGTACAATGATGAGAGAGGTGCCTGTACGAGGCCCGAAGTGGAAAAAGCAGAGAAGAAACGGCCACTCAAAGTGATGTAATATCATAAAGTTGGAGAAGAATGGCGCACCTCAGCCCTTTAAAGAACTTTGCTGCTTGATTAGCTGGCACACCACCACTCTTTAGGACCAATCAAATTTTCCATGCATTTCTTCAGCTGGGTCTCTGAGCAGAAAAATGAGGTGGATGTAAACAGGAAATGAATGCAAATGTGATTTGATTGGAAATATGGCTTGGTGGGGCAAAAGCCGCTTCCCTCATGGTTACACCAGAAATACTACTACCACCTATTATTGTAGCATCACCCCGCATATACTGTATGGTTCAAGAGAGATGCTTCTACTAAGTCTAATACCCTACTTTTGGACCACCCCTCTTTTGGACCACTCTTTTACACCAAAAATTATCATTTTCAACTATTAATAATTCAATAATTAATAAATGAAATTGATTGAAAATTTGATTATAATATTTTCATATAAATATAAATAGATTCTGAAAATTTCAGACTTTTTGTGATTTTATTGATTGAGATTTTGAAGATTGAAATTTCGATTTTTGATTTGTATAAGATTTATATATAAATTCGAATAACATTAAAATTTGAAATAATTTTTCAACGAAAATTATTAAAAATAAATTATAAATTTTTTTAAAATCTTTAAATCAAATATAATATAATAGATTAAAACTTTTATTTTTATTTCTAGATTTTATAAAGATTAAAAATTACAATATTTTAAATAAAAGAATTTTTATAAATTATTTTTCGAAATAAATTAATTTATTTGATTGATTTTGATTCAAAAAGTTTAAAAAATTTAAAAAATTTATAGTTTATTTTCAATCACTTTTGTTGAAAAGTTATTATAGATTTTAATAATTTTTTAAATTTGTATATAAATCCTACACAATGCCACGATTCACCATTAGGATTAGTGTCCTGGGATAGAAAGGAATCACGTGATAAGGAGCCCTGAGGAGCCAGAAAGCTCCTGGGGGCTCCTTTTATTGCTCATTATATAATCAAGAATAGTTTTATAGTTTAGGAGCTTCGTGCTCAACTTAGTTATCAATTAGTTTACCTACATTCTACTTGATCTAGTAACGACTTCACTTCCCAACGTCAAATTCCATGGATATAGTGGTAAACGATTCTGTACCGGCAGGCAGCGGGCTGCCTGAGGTTTCGGTCTGATTGGTAGTTGTGGGTTAAGGCTTTATCACTAGTCTTCACTTGGAAGTGAAGTCGTTACTAGATCAAGTAGAATGTAGGTAAACTAATTGATAACTAAGTTGAGCACGAAGCTTCTAAACTATGAAACTACTCTGACTATATACTGAACAATAAAGGGGGCCCCTAGGAGCTTTCTGGCTCCTCAAGACTCCTTATCACGCGATTTCTGATGGTGCGTGCGCATACGATCTTCAGGTGACCAAGATCACATACTAATTCGATGAAATCTGATCGTGTTTGCACACGGCCTAAGCTCTCCTAATTAATCAGTTTGCTACCATCGTAACACCATCAATCCTAATGGTGAATCGTGACAATAGTCTTAATCCACAACTACCAAAAGAAAATGAACAAAATGACCATTTCAATTCTTTTAAAAACCTTTTACTTTTTAAAAATTTAATTGAAGTTAAAAAGAAGTTTAAAATAATAATATAATATTAAAAATATTATTTAAATTTATAATAAAATTCTAATAAAAATATTAAATAAATTCTCAGTATATAATAAATTAATAATTTTTTTTAAAATATTAAAAATTGTTAAAATGAATGGTTCCTGCGTAGCACGTGCACAGGGCACTAGTCCTATTAGGACTAGATTGAGAAGCTCTCTGTAGGAGAGCTTCGCACTTCTGTAGAACTGTAACGATACTGTACTGAAGGCAGCGGCTGCCTGAGGTTTCGTTGGGTTGGTAGTTATGGGTTAAGGCTTTATCACTGGTATTCACTTGGAAGTGAAGTCGTTGCTAGATCAAGTAGAATGTAGGTAAACTAATTGATAACTAAGTTGAGCATGAAGCTCTTAAACTATGAAACTATTCTAACTATATACTCATCGTTTCCCTGGATGCTAGCTCTGCTAGCCAGCTAGCAGAGCTATCACATCACGTGATCTCTTATTGGCCTCAGGACACTAATCCTGGGACAATTCGTCTCCTGGGATAATATAGCTCCTAGGATAATTGTCCTGGGACAAATATTATCCTAGGACGTTTATCCTAGAACGAATAATGTCCTAGGACACTTGTCCTAAGCCATCACGGTTGCCTAATTGATTTGTCCTAGGATTCCTCATCGATAAGGGAACCACGGTAAACAACAGCCTAAACCTCCGTACTTGTTTTTATTGTGTTATAATTGTCGCGATTCGTGACAAGAACTTAGAAGAAGAGTGATTAATACACTAGACCAATATTACCTCAGTTCTGCCCTATCAGCTTCCCACTATTCCCTGTGTAAGGTCATTCCTTTTAACATAAATAATTATATAAATAATTTAAAAGATTACATATATTTAATTTGTAATAATTTTAATATAATAACTTTTTAATATTTAAAATTACAAAATAATGAATTTTTCTTATAAGAATAACTCTTTTTTGGTTTTTTAAATTTTTCAGTTTTAAATATATATAAATATTAAAAAAGTATATCTTATTTCATTTTTTATTAAATATAAATTAATTGTTTTAATTTATTCAAATGATAATGATTTAAAAAGTTGAAAAATCATTAATTTTAAATACAATTTCACTTAGTATATATATAATAAATAGATTATATAACTCTTTTATTTATATAAATAATATATATTTGTTACGAGGTTTGCCGTCTAGATCACGTGGAAGTGCTCTAGGCTCTCGAAGTAGGTTTATAACTAGGCGTCAAGCAGGGACTTGAAGTAATGACAATAATGATATGCAATTCGTAACTAATAGTAGAGTATACTAAATGATTGATCTTGAGCACGAAGCTCTATACAAAAGAAATCCATCTTGATTATATAGTCCTTCGTGCCTATGGTTAACTAGGAATCGTCGTTCCTGGGAACGAGCGTTCCTGGTTGTTCCTAGGAACGTTCGTTCCTCACCGTTCCATCACATGTTTTATGGTCATGTGACATACTAATCGTTTTGGACGTAACAATATTCTAATATATAAAAAACACTATCAAGTCTACAAAACATGGAATGTCACAGTCAGACAAATAGGTGATAAAAGTAATAGTATCTGTGACCAAAAGGGTGTTTATAGACCAGCAATTGTATTTAACTTAGAATCTACAGGTGAAGAGCACCTGTAGATGGGGATAGCTACTCTATATATACACAAATGAATAGCCTAGCCGCAATGGCTAGGCAAAAAGAAGTCATATTTATTCCTCCAATGATCTTACTTTACCAATAACCATTGATACCTAGTACTTGTTCCGGATCTGATCCTCAGGTCACCTAAATCGTATACTAATCTCGAGTAATCGTATCATGTGTGGACATGGTTAATGTACCTGAGGTTTCTTATATAATAAGGGTGGGAGGAAAGCAGGGATTTCCGTCACAGTATCAAATTTAGGATTCTGGTGGTCTCCGCATGGAACTTACATAATTGTAGATATACAACAAGAAATAACTGAGGAGGATGAGTGGTCAAGTGATGAATCAAGACGGGATATGACATTGTTGTCTGCTTTGTATTGGAAATGAACACATGGATCTAGAGGATCTTGTAAAAATTCTCGCCCAAACATTATTTGCTCCGATTTTACGTTGCATATTTACAGAATACTACAAATTTTGTTTCTCGGATCTTGAATTGAGGTTTGACTAGATAGGTGTGTTAAAGCTTCATTCAGGCCTCAATCATCTCAGAAACCAAATCCATATGCATCCAATCTCAATCCAAACCATGCTCACTCTCAACTTCAAAAATTCAGTAGCTGTGTTCCAATATTATTGATCGGAAGTCTTTGGTTGCATATTTGCATCATTATCTAATATCTCTCCAGCTGAACTGGTGGTCTTGAATCTAAATGGACTAGCTATTCTTCGTTTCCTTGCTCCAATCATCATCTATTTACCAGTCATACATTTGACAAACACAGTTGATTCTCATTCATCTCATCCCTTTCGCACTTTACACTCGTCGATATACTCCCACGCTTTACCTTCATCCCCGCCTCAAGTACTGATTCGAAAGTTTTGTTGAATCTCTGATGCGTATTGGTTTTCGCACAGCAGCCTAGGCCACTAAGAAGCTGAAGGTCCCAAGCTAGCAACTATACTCCTTCCTAGCGACTTTACTGGATGGCGGATACACAACAGATCCGAAAAAGGATCCTATGCATTCACTCTATATGTTTCCTGAAAAAACTTATTTCAATGAACACTTCAAATAATAATCCAACAAGATTCTGGTCGACTTTTTTGTTTATCACCAAGAGTAAAGCAGTTAAGTTAACATTGGTGGCGCAGCTAGGGAAATTAACATGGTTTAAATATTTAATCTATATCAAGTACGCATCAGACATACGACAAAACTTATGAAAGGCCTAGTGGGTAGATGCCTGAAGTAGCTGGGATGAAGGGGAGGAATCTCATACGACTTCTAAAATCTTCACATTCAGATCAACTGAATCAACCCATAAAGCACCGGATCAAGTAGTAAGTGATAAGTATGTATAATTTCCAACATTCAATCTTAAAGCTAAGTATCGCCCCAAAAGCGTCCAGTCTAATTTGCTCCGCCGCGCCACGCCAAATGAGAGGAAAAGCAAGAATGACATCATCCCAACCTCTATTTTGTGCATGTAAAACAATTCGACACAACCATTCACTTCTAAATCATCGTCTCACAGAGCACCATCTATTCATCCGAGAACTCCACTGCTACACTGGTATCCAAATCGCTAATCGTACCCTCTCTTTCGCCACCTGTGTCCCCGTCGGCACTTTTCCCGTCCAGTTCCCTACACAACCTCCCGAGTAATCCCTCCACCCTTCTCATACACTCCTCCAATTTCCCCAGCCGCACTCGGATATGTTCTCCCTCCTCATCACTACTCCCCTCGTTCAACAAATCCCTCAAATGTTTTGGGATACTCATGCCTGCAAAGGGTGCTACGGAATCTCTTCTGATCCTCTTGGAACTATTAGCCGTATCTCTCCTCTTCATGTTTTCTCTCGGATTAACATTTTTCTGTCCAGGTTGCGACTTCGATTTCGTCGATGCATCAAATTCCCGCGCAAATTCATTTTCGAAAAAATTCCGTTCATGCGGAACGTCATTAGCCGCCTCGATCTCAATTTCATTTGCGATATCACTAGGAGGCTCCACTTCAAACACTGCTTGTAAATCGCCATGAACGCTGAAGCCTCTTGAGAAATCCCAAATTCGGGGACGGGGTGGGATACGGGGCAATTGCTCTGCTTCTTTTTGACGACGGGGGCCGGCCCATAGCTGACGTCGCTCTAAATAGCCAATGAGGAGTAAGAGCGGAGCATTGAGGAAACGCACGGCTGCTACGTTGATCTTATGGAACCAGCGAGGGGTTAGGACGAATTTGAGGGGCATGAGGACGAAGAGTGCGAGGATGTTGAAAGGAGGGAAGTAGGCAAACAAGGAGTCTGATTTCACTCCTTCGAGGGTGAGGACGGCGCGACGGAACTGGATCTCTGCGGTGGCGTTGGAGACGATGGTGGAGAACGTTGTCGAGAGCATGGATACGAGGATAGTGAGGAAGAGGGTGTTGCCAAGAAATGCGAAGGTAACCATGAGGATGGGACCGAGAAGCCAATGGAACTGAGCAGACGTTGTAATGCCTGTGCCGTCAAGTCCAAACCATATCCAGAGCATCCATTTTGAGACAGTAATTGGTTCGTGAATACCATTGCCAAGCCATATCATGGAAAGCAAAAATCCGGCAAAGCACCATACAGCTAAAATGGTCAGGACAGTGAAATCGCGCATCATGGCTCGGAGAGAAATAAAGAGCATGTTTTCGGACATGAGGTTGAATGCTAGACGTGGAACGAGGACGGGGGCTCCCAAGGCGAGGACATCTAGAGCTTGTTGACCAGTGCCAATGTTATCAGTGCGCCAGCCCCTCAAGCGTAGTACGAGATAAAACCCGAAGATTGCGGCGAATGTGACATCGAGGAATGACCAGAGATTCTGGGTGTACACGTGCCATCCGTGTTCCAGGATAGAGCAACTGCATCTAACGTTAGCAAGGGTTGTCAGATTCGACTAGAATGTACCAAGGAACTTACAATTGATCCAAAGACCAACCTGATGTGTAGATAATGAAGAATAATTCCATCCCACCAAATGTTGCGGGATCGCGGTCTGCCATTACATACAAATAGAAAACCAACAGTAGCAAAAAGTGACACACTTCCAAGTAATTCCTCGTGCGAGGAACTATCAGTCTATATTGGTTAAACAGTGGCGCCTCCCTCGGATTATACAACGAGATGGGCTTGTTTTTGTAGTGATCAGGCAGGATATCCATGAACGCCGTTGGCGTATATATGACTCTTCCTTCATATATTGCGCTTATTACTTTTTGACATGCCGACGAACTGAGGAAAGCTTTGCTTTGAGATATAATGGCAATTTCTAGGGCTGGTAGTCTTCGATTGGCGCCTGTGCGGGAGTGGACGGCCCAACCAAAGTTACTGCTCTCTCGAATGACATTATTCGGAGCACCTTGAAAGGGATCAAAACCTCCTACGAGGATACGAGAAAGGAGAAGTAAACCTTCTGAGCCGGTATGGTCCTCGTGGAAACGGCGAAGAACTCGATTGGCAACTATTTCGCACAGATGGGCACGTGTGGTGCAAATGCTTTGTTGATGCGGGAGGGCCAGTTGTTCACGTTGAAACTGTGTCTTATTGACGAGAAGACAGTAGACTGGGGTGTATTAGCATTCAAAACTACGTGTCAATCTAGAAGCAAAAGTAAAGACTATGGAGGGATGCCAAGGATAGGATCGAACAGCCCCCCGAGGACTACTCGGAGCATCATCCAAATTTCATCATCTCTTTACAAGGCTCCTCCGAATACTCCGCCGGTTGTTATACTAGTCTCCTTGAGAAAGGTACGCAATCAACTTCTTCCTAGCATAGGATGATTTCAAAGATGGAGATAGCAACATACCGACGGACAAATCGTCCAAATCATACAGCCTATCCACCAATGGTCTAACCACCGAAACATTGAGTCTCGGATCCCTGAGCTGTTCTAAACTGTATGGGTCATCTATCTCCTTCATCAGCCAAAATGGTACTTCAAAGTTTCAATCTCTTTCCCTCAATTAAGCTCACCAATGGCCGAAATAATATCTCTCCTTATCCTAATCACCTATCAGCATCACCTCCAGCCAAAAAGCAAACTGGAGTGGGAAGCGAACCGATGAATTGTCTTGTAAACCGGTAGATCCCCAAATTCATCCTGGGGATAACATATATCGCCAATGGCATGAGGGTGAAAACATGCATGGCCATCATGTCTTCCTACAAGGGTACTCCTAATTTTGTTTCCATTTTCTCTCGTTTCTTCGTCGTTACCCTCTAAATCTACCTCCGGCTCAGGTGTCAACAACTGTGTGGTCTCCGTACTGGCGTATATCTCATCTTCATTTCCACGGGAATTTCTAGGATAATTTCTAGGTTTCGAAGTTCTAGGAGAAACGGAGGAAGAAGACTGACCCATCATGCCCTAACGGACATGCCCAGACGTCTAGGTCGATGAATATGGTAATGAATAATGGTAGCTAGTAGTATTTATTGATAATAAAAATACTTGGAATACTTCACAGGGCAGGATCCAGCGCCTGTTTAAGAATTTTATACCATGACGCAAGCGTGAGATGATGTGAGTGGGTTCTGAATCTTCTGATACACCCATTTTTGGATGCTAAGAGGGGTTGTGTGCGTTGTACGATAAGGATTGAAAACAAACTTTAAAGCGGCGAGGGTTGAGGGCACGAATAATATAAATGTAAGACTTAATTACCTAGGTAGGTTACTAATTGAGAGGTGGATATGAATGAATAAATAACTAATCTTATTACATAAAAGAAGCTATTCATAAATCGCCATCAACATCAACATCAACATCAATATGGTTATTATTTCGAGATAGCTAGTGAAACGGAACGAATGGGAAAATTTCTCTTCATTCCATTGTTTCATTCCCTGGTCCTATCATTTCGCTGTCCCCTATTTCATTCCGTCTCCTGGAAACTAACACAAAAATGTGACCATCTCTCAAACACGCTACAAACTTTTTGTAGCGTTCTTTCATCTGGCCTGTTTGCGATGAAAGAAGTGATATTTGCTGCCGGGAGCGGTGCCTAACATCAAAACATGTGTTGAGATTCCACGGTCTGGGCAGTTTTCCCCAGTAGTTGATGAGAACAGAGCTGTGCTTACACGAGGAAAGTGGGAGTTTTGGGACGAACAGAAGACGGATTTGGTGCATATGTTGCGTACCAGAAAGGAATTACGAGAAAAGCGGTAGAGGTGTTGGTTGAAGAGATTACCTAGTAGTTATGTTTATTTGTTTGTGTCTTTTGAGGAAGATGGGAGGGCTGACTAAGGAGGAAAGAAAGAGCTAATTTTAGAGTATAGAACACATCGGTATGAGCGGCGATGGATGCATGTCACATGTATACTCCCATTCACTTCTTCCTGCATTTGCTAATCATATTTGCCTGCCAACAAACAGTAAGTGAAAACGGCGGTACCTTTCCTTTGTTGCATAGCACTCATAGCAACCTATTTAACTCATCTTTTGAATCTTCACCTCCGTCTTCTCCCTCAAGATTTATCTCACCATATCTTTAGGGGTTTCCTCAACTGAGTCTTTTAAGTCCATAGCAACAATCCCATCTCGATCTAGACGTGATCTTGATCATGGCATCCGGCTGGGCTCCTGACACGAATCCTATCGAGCTCGCTGATGGTACTCTGATTTGCGAAAGGCATCGTCAAATCATCTGTCATGTATGTTGCTGTGATTATAGCTTCGCACAAGAGCTTCGCGATGAGGAGGAACAGGCTCTTGAAGATGCCGGGAATGAAGGTCTACAAACCTTCTCTCAAGCTCACTCTGGCGATGAACTTGGACATTCGACGGATTTTTTCTATTCTGTTGCTACTACACCTCGTCACCCTACTGCAATGAACAGTTCCGGTTCTCGAGATAGACCCGAAATGCCCTTCGCGTCGGGATCCATCCCCTCCATGACCAAATTTGTCCCACCTAGGTCTACCGACAGCCCCAAAATGCTTTTCGAAAGAGCCCATCGTTTCATTCGACGTACAAATCCTCACGAAATACTCATCTACACGGATGGCGCCTGTTTATCTAATGGCCTCTCCAATCTACGTGGCGGTTGCGGTTTCATTGCTTCCCCAACGCACAAAGTCAAGTTCAGACTCGAAAACACCGGCCCAACTGATGAACCCCACCCTCAAACTAGTAACCGCGCCGAGTTGCGCGCCGTGATTGCCGCACTCCAATATCATTACTGGCAAGGTGATTGCTTGGGGTCTTGGACTCGTCTCGTCATCGCTACGGACTCCGAATACGTTGTTTTGGGAGCAACAGAACGGATCCGCGGCTGGATCACGCGGGGCTGGCGAACAAGCGCCGGAAAACCGGTCAAAAATCAAGATTTATGGAAGAAGCTGATACACCAGATCCAGAAGTTGGATGAGCCATCGAGATGCATATACCCTCCTCATGGCACATCAGTTTCATTTTGGAGGATTCCAAGGGAGTGGAATCAAGATGCAGATGTGGAGGCAAAGAAGGGAGCTGAGCTGGAGGACGTGCAAAGATACACGAAAATTCTCGGGTTGATGGTTTGACTTTGTAGGACTAGCGGACTTGTGGATTTAAGGTTAGGTTCCAGTGTGATTGCAGTTAAATTTAACATTTAAGGACTGAGGATTATACACCAAAGGGGGATGGAGGGTGTTTCTCACATTTCTATGTAATCCTACTTGTTCTGCCTTATGGTTTTCCTACTATTCATTTTTAAATAATCTAGGGAAAAAAAGGCACCCTCCGGTGAATGGCAGGAACATATCAGAGAATGACCTGGTGTGTACTATTTTTTGGAGCCTTGAGAAATACCCTGCAACCCGAAGATAATGATATACACGTGCATCAATCAAAAACATTTCAGATTTCTATCATTGTGATTTTGTAAAGTACCTCCCCTAACCCCAACAACAATATTTCTCCCAAAACGAAACGCAACCAGTTACATCCCACCAGAACAACACTTCAAGTATTCATCACTACACGAACCCCTTCAACGGCCAAAGCCCCACCGACCCAAGAGACGAGTTAATCAACAACTTCTCCAACTCTTCCCACAAACCCCTCTAACCCAGCAATTCCCTTCTCCCCTCTCTCACTTCCCGCATACAGCCCATGACCGCCACCGGGCATGACCAAAACCTGACTACCCAACTCTATCCATTCCCTAGACGTCAACAATTCAAAACTAACATCTGTAATACCATCCGTCCCAAAAATGAATGGTTCATCTTTCATTTTTCCACCTGGATCAAATATGTCTCCGCCATCCAGTAGGCCCAAACCAAAAACATCATCGACGTCTTCTGTCCCCGTATCCGTGTGTATGTCTTTAGTAGGAAGGTTCGGCTTTAGTTTGAGGACGCGGGCGGAGGCGCGCACGCTAGCTATGTAGATTACCACTACTGTGCCCGGTGTGACAGAGTTAATGTCGCCATCATCGAACGACGCAGTAAAACCACTAGCTGCTTGGAGAGAATGACGAGTTTGAAGCACGTGTTTACTTGGTACCGCCATGACCATTCCTTTTCGAATTCTAGGAGCAGATTGTGAAGAACGTTTCAAGGGACTATCTGAGTGTTCTTCTAGTGTTTCCGAAAAATTGAACACAATGCCTATCGTGCCTACTTGACCAGCTTCGATCGTGTGGACCGGGAGACGGAGATTACGGATACTGACTATATGCGCATTTTGCCATTCGCCTTTGGTGGCTGAAGCAATGGGTGTATTCCGCGAGGCCATCCTGGAAAGTTCGGCTGCTGAAGGATGAGTGAGTGAGGTACCTAGACTGGTGGGCGAAGAACTAGGATCAGATTGAGGGGAACCATCCTCGTAAGAATCTGCTGGGAAAGGACCGACGACAACACTATCCCCAATTGACAGTCTACCGAAACGAAGATGACCGGCAACTACACTTCCCGCATCGATGCCATTGTTGTTAGAGGCTAAAGAATCATAAAACGCTGGTACTCCAAAAACATCTTCAATGTGGAATAGGCACGAAGGTTGCTCTGGATTGAGTGCCATGCCGATATAGTCATGAGGAGTGGGCGGGGTAGGTATCGGCAAAGCTTGTAGAAGAGCGTGAAGCTGGCGAATACCGCTTCCCTTCGCTGCACTTGTAAGAACGATAGGAACTATGGACCTAAGATCTGACATTGCCATTGTATTGATGACTTTTCGAACGGCATCAGTATCCTTGGGAAGTATACTAGTCAGATCTGCATCAACAATATTCTTAGTTTGATCTGGCGGAAGTATCGAAGGAGTTCTCCCAGTTGTTTTGATAGCAGATAGAAGCTTCGACAGTGTCAGGGCCAGACTAGGTTTTGAAGCAAGATCAAGCTTGGTGATCACGACAGCCAAAGGTTTGTCTAACTTCAAACAAAGCTCTAGATGTGCCTTTGCTAGATCAGTTCCTGCCCCAGCCGTGCCGAGTATTTCTGTTGCTGAAGAAGTACTTCCGGCTCCGCTCGAAGCGGCGTCATCTGCTGCGACACATAAAACAGTCCAATGCGGCGCCCAGCCAACCAAGCCTCGCACTGTTGTCCTGCGATACCTCGGATGACCAGCAGAGTCGGAAACAAAGAGAAGCCGGCCGTCTTCTGCTGTGGCATGGATATCCGTCCAGGAAGTAACATTGCCAGAAGCATAGTTTATGACCTGTGAGTCTTTATAACCAATCAATTCCTGTGCCACAGAACTTGTAATTCCTGTGGCAATTTCATGACGATGCTTGAGTAGACTGAGTCTGCTTTTACCTCTACCGTTATCAAGCGTTGTGGTAGACAAGGTTCCCAGAAGACTTGATTTGCCAGATGTGGTGGGGCCGGTGAGAGTAATGCGCAACTGTTCAGTTGTATCCTCTTGTTTGGGAAGAGAGGTCTCGGTAAACTCGCTCATCATAGGCTGGGGGGTATCATGGCGACTGACCGGGACTTCATCGTAACCTCTTGATTTTGCTCTTTTGGAACTGAGATCTGGAGTTATCAAAGCTTCAGCGACCCACAATTTCTCTCGATGCCGGAGATTTTTTGATGTCGTCTGGTCTTCAGGAACGACTAGCCATGGCTTTTGTTTCTTGATTCGCTGCGGAATTTGAGATCTTGTGGCCTCATCTGTCTCTTGCCATTCACATTCCCCAACAACTACCTTCCGAACAATCTCAACATTGCAGCCAAGACTAGCCGCCATAGCTCTGAGATTTATCAGACTCTCGTCCAGCTCATCGCTCGTTAGACCAACAAATGTGCCATCATCAGAGACCCCAATTTCATATAGTGCTCCACGACTTTCCTCGAGCCCGGCTAGCAGCTTCCCAGGCCTCGAGGGAGCATCTAAGCTCGTTGCGCTGCCAGGCAATCTGTTGCAATCGGAGTTAGCACAAGTTCACAATCAAGTACACATAATTGAATGTCACCATATTGAACTGTGCTATACTGAAAATGGGTCACATTGGCATAAATATACAATCAACGCTATAGGGTCATGCACTCACTTCGGTAACACAAGATCACTTGTAGATGATGCGTGGTATGGGGACGACTGTTGTAGGCGCCACAGCAACTGGGTTGTAAGCTGCTCTAGACGTTTTTGTTTGCTTTGATTGGATGGTGCCAATATGGGGCTAGCTTTCTCCTGATTCAGGGGTTGCTGTTTGTGCTGCTGAGAGCCGGATATGATTGAGCCAGTGCTCGAAGAACTATAAGTCCTCCTTGGTCTTAACAAAAGATGCAATTTATACTCCGTGGGACCTTCCTGTGGTTCCGCCTCCAACTTCGTAACTCCATATTCCGAAATATGACTTGAAGCAGAGGTAGAGTGTAGGGCTTTTGGATATGGTAGAGGTGTTGATGGTTTGGGAGAATCGGTAGGAGTCAACCATGGAGATTCTACCCTTGGGGGTTCCGGTTCATATGTAAAAATCGATGCCATTATCCAATACTGATGCTACCCGCAGCCAATAGCCAATTATCCAAACCTCCGTCGATAGCCCAACTGTCAATGGTACTGATTGTCACCGCCCAGGATGTGCCAATCCTTACTCAACAAGCCGTAGATTCTTCAAAGACTGCCGCCGCAGTATTAATATTTTCCCGATGACTGGGGAAGAGTGTATATTCATATGGTGATTATGTATTCGGAAAGGGTGTAGTAATAGTAAAAGCATTTTGATTTTCGTATTGGAAATGATTACTGAAATGCTGGATAGCTTCAGGAAACTGGACGTTGGTGGAAAGAAGTAGGTAGTAGGTGGTAGATAGGTATCGAACTGAGAATCAGTTATGCGGATATGGCAGAAGTCATGTTGATATAACTTCACTTTGTGGATTGAATTGTTTTCGCATCATTTAGGATGATAATGTAGGGAGGAGGATTCTACTTGATAAAATAACAAATCAAGACGATGAATCAGTCACACCGTTGATCATTCGTTGAAGCATCATTGGGGAAATTCATTGGCTCTGGTAATCCTTATGCCTTATGTCCATAAGCACTGTAATAAGATCTTACACACTCCGTAGTAGGTCATATACGGAGTGTGTGGTGGCTAGGGGGGACGCTCGGAAGTTCCACAGGCTAAGCCCCACTCCTACTTGACTTTTCAGGCATCTTGTTCATGGATCAACACCCTGAAACTCATTTGCATCTTCGACCCGTATTCCCAAGACAACCCTTTGTTACAACTTTTCAACTCTACAAACTACATTTATTTAAGAATAGACTCAGATCCCCTTAAATTTCAATACTTCAATACTTCATTGCCATCTCTTTTTATCTCTCAGACACAATAGATCGTTCCTTCCATTTTCTTATAATTCTCTATTGAAACCCTTTAATTACCTACCTTTCGACCAAATAATCGTCAATCTCATTGAATTATCACAATGGGTCTCTTTTCACGAAAAGACAAGAACGCCTCTCCTGCTCCGGCGGCGAATCCTTATGCCACTCCACAGCCTCAAGCCGATCCTTACGCGCAAGATAGCAAATATGCCAACATGCCCGCCCAGCCCACTCAATCTCCATATCAATCAGCCAGACAGCAGCAGTATACCGCTCCAGGAACCGGGAATGCCCCTGACGGCCCTCGAGGTGGAATGGGCGGCTCCAATCCTCGAGCTCCGGCTCCCAACGGTGGTGGTTACGGATCAGATAAATATGGAAGCGGCGGTGGATATGGCGCAAACAGATACGATGGCTCTTCCGCCAATTCGGGATCAAAGTATGGCCCTGCAGGTTATGGTGGCCTAGGACGAACAAACAGCAATGATACAACTACAACGGAAGACAACAAGAATGAGCTATTCGGTGGCGCGAAGGATAGATACGCACAAAAGGCAGCTGCTAACTCTGATCGACCTCCGCCATATGGTGCGCAGTCAGATTCTGGCCCATCAACTGGAGGCGGATATGGGGCGTATGGCGAAGAAAGACAGCTTACTGCCGAAGAAGAGGAAGAAGAAGATGTACAGGCAACAAAGGCTCAAATCAGGGCCATGAAGCAAGAAGATGTTTCATCTACCCGAAACGCACTGAGAATCGCGGCCCAGGCTGAGGAGACCGGCCGTGCTACCTTGGCTCGTCTAGGTGCACAAGGTGAACGTATTCACAATACTGAAAAGAACCTGGATCTTGCTGCCAACCATAACCGGCTCGCTGAGGAGAAGGCTAAAGAATTGAAGACTCTCAACAAGAGTATGTTCGCCGTCCATGTATCTAACCCGTTCACGGCAAAGTCAAGAAAAGCTCAACGAGATGAGGATATTATCAACAAACACAGATCAGAACGCGACCAGCGTGAGGAGACTAGGAATGCAGCTTTTGCATCCTCACAAAGAATGGAAGCAAACTTCAGGGAACTTCAGCCAGGAGATGTTGGATATCGAGCAACAGCCACTAAGGCTAGTCTTGCAGAGAGGTCAAAATATCAGTTCGAAGCCGACTCTGAGGATGACGAAATGGAGAATGAAATTGACTCCAACTTGGATGCTCTAGGCCATGCTGCCGGAAGGTTGAACCTACTGGCTAAGGCTACTGGTCGTGAAGTTGATGACCAGAACAAACACATCGAGAGAATTATTGGCAAGGTACGTTATTATAACTCATATTTGTCCTGTATAATTGCTAACTATGTTTCAGAGCGACCGTGTCGACGATCAAATCGCTATGAATAGAGCCAGATTGGACCGCATTCACTAAAGTGCATCTTCGTTCACATATACTCATTAATATCACCATATTTCATTTTTGCCACAAACTTACCTCTACAAGTCATACTGCTAGCGGCGTGTATTCTAGAACACCGTGATAATCCATCTGAAAATACATTGGAATAGCCGATCAAGACAGAGTCATGGAAAACACTGTAAGGATGCTCTATCATGGTTGCTAGCGGGATTTTCTGGGTGGCAGCGTACCATTTTACAATCTAGGAGTTTTGGTTGCATGCATGGGTTTCATAAGGTCTTTGAGGGAGGGATACCTAGTTTACTTTGTTATTGATATGTATAGATAAAGTATTTGCCAATCGAAATCTTCATATGATATCCTCTTTGAACTGCTCTCTGTCTCGTGAGTATTCGACGCTTTTGTGACTTTCAAGGACCTTGACTAGAGAGATGGATGAAATGATTTCAGGAGCGGTGATCAACTACTTACATACTTCAGGGAAGCAGATAGGCAAAGATAAAGCCTAAGGCGTTATAGTGTATTTCATGTTTTCGAATTAAAGTGCCGTATCTATAACTTTTTTCCTTCGTCAGATTACATTCTTATGTCCAGAATCTACCGGTGAGAAACCCCATTTCTCTTCGGCCGAGAAGGGGAAAGGCAAGGAGACGGAAAGGGGAGCGGCGAAAGTATTCGCTTACGTTATTTACCTTGGAATTGAGTGATTATTAACATATTAGATGGACTAGTAAACTCAAATAGTATTTATTGTATAACATGCGTAAGTAGCTAGATGCATATCCACAGGAAAACTCATAACTCAGCGGTGAAAGCCATGCATATTTTGTTGATTTGCTACAGGATGGATGAATGGATGATAGACACATCTAGCGAGCGAGTATTTCCCCTCCCTCTACAATCATCCTGAAACGTTGTGCCGTTCGAGTTCTTCAATGGTTTGTCTCTTTATATCTAGAGATGTATGACGTGCTATCTACCGCCAACCAATTAATGTAGTGAATCATAAAATCTACATCATCATCCAAGCACTTAGAGAAGAATATTTACATCCGAGTTCTGGTCCAAGTTTGCATGCAATATCGGATGAGTGATCTCGATGGCAAACGCACAGTGCACAGTCTATATGTGCTAGTAGAGTAGTTTGAATTTCATTTGGGATGCGCAAAGACTATACATACTGCAGAAAGTGGGGAAGGGGAGGCGCTAAAAGATGCGTATCATGAGCCTAGGAGACAGCAGGTGTGATGATCGATGAAACGGAAGAATACACTTGAATGAGCGAGTGAGTACGACGGTACGTCAACACAAAAACCCGGTGCATTTTGTGTAATCGTGAATTCTTGTACCGGAGCCAATAGATTTAATCGTTAACAGCGGAGATGTGCATTCCTGATTCTGACTAACATCTTTTGCAGCGGATTTTATCACTTTCCTGTAAAAGGGTGTCTCTTCTCCTCGCATATTATTCGAAAAGACAAAAAGAGCAAACGATGGAGCCGTGCTAGGTCAACCGACCCTTGCTATCAGGAGTGGGAGCAGCAGAAGGATCCAAAAACAGGAAATAAGAAGTTGGAGAGCTCTCTCATGTGCAAAAAGAGAATCTCACATACAACAGTGGGGATTCGCTGGTGGTCACCCACCCAACTACTAATCCACCGATCTGAAGCTTGTGTATGGCAGAGCGGACGGGATGCCCAATTCTCTTCAGTCTATGGTCGTATGTGACAGAAAATAGTTTCTTTGAATATATATATCAATTGGGTCGATGCGATTATCTGTTGGAACTTAGCGCCACGCCCGCAAACTCACCCAAGCATGCTAGAGAAAATAAAGATACAAACTTCATTGTGCGTGCAGTGAATACAAAAATATCGACGTCGTAAGAAAAACGTCAAAGATGAAAGTCTGGGATGAGAAAATGTTTGGGTTGGAAGTTCCAATCCACTTGGACATATGAGGGATAATATATCGTCGAATTGTAAGAGTACCTAGATAAGAATGATTTCATCTGACCGATGAAACCATACACTATTCGTTGCTACGGAGCATACTAGGTAAGCTTCTTTTTAGGTGGTATGCAGTAATCACCATGAAAAATAAACCTTCTAGACCTCGCCCAACGGGCATTCACATATCCATCCATATGAATTGGGAAACCAACTCACCAGTTTGATCACGAGAACCTCTGAAAGTATTCCACAAGGCGTAATTAGTGATCCTTCCATCGAGACGCCCAATATTATGCAGATAGTATTCGTATTGTGAGATTCATATTTCAAGCCAGATCCAGATTGTTGAACAGTTTGTTGTTTCTGAATGATCCCGTGAACATGTTTCTATAAGGTTAGTTGAAATTGTGAAGGACCAAACATCAAGTCCACAATTTCGGGGAGAGAAAGAAGGTAACTTGTGATTGTGAGTATACGTTTGCAGTTACCCTGAAGATTCTGAGTATCAGATTTTTAAGTCACAGAATGGATCGTATATGGAAGATGGTAGATGGTAGTGAAATAATGCAATGCATGGTGTCCGATGTCCCCGATGAACTTATCCTATTGCAATCGCCGTTTTGATTGTGCGGCATTGTTGGTTTGAGCTGAATGGTCGTCGCAAGGTAAAGCCGTCTTGCTTTTACTGTACTCGTACCCATACACGATAAGCTTAGAAGGTTATACGAGCTGGATTGGCAGGCACATGGGAAACTTTATTGCAGTCAGTACAAGAGCACTGTAATGCGGTTGGATTCACGGGATGGGTTGTTGCGTTTTGCATTTCGCATCTGCATGAGGATAGCGGTTGCGAACTGGATGGGTAAGATAATTCCGTAATAACGAAAGGTTCTTCATATGGTTCCTAATTTCCAGCTTGGGCTCTTGTATATGATGTTATTGAATATACCAGTGATATTGCCCTGCCGATGACCAGGCAAGCTTAGAGATGTGAGGAAGTCCACCCAAATTCCGGGGGCATGATGATATGACGGGTTGTCTTTGCAAGGACCTGATTGTTGAATAACGGGACGAAAAAGTGTAAAAATCCTCACAATTTCGGAATATTGCTTGTAAATGGGTGTGGAATGGGATGGATGATCACATATGCAATGCTCCATTTTTCGGAAAAAGGAAAATGGATTGGTAAATGCGAGCAGCTCGCTTTGGTACTCGTCGAATGTTTGGTGGGTGTAGCACCAAAAATGATGGCACGGTGCTGTCTCTAAATGAACTGTGCTTTTACCGGCGTGGGAAAAGGTAAAAGTGGAGGAGGTAAATCATGAACGTCATATCAGACCTTTTCCCTTTATTCCTCCTTGCTTTTTGGTTGGCATTGATTGTGTAAGATTCAGAAACAGAAAAAAAAAGCGTGAGCTCGCTGCCGGTTGAATGCTGTTTTGTTTCGGGCAAGGAGGTTGGAAGGAAGGAAAATATGAGGAATGGCCTTGAAATTCGATGCGACTTACATGCTTGGTGAGGCTGTGCCATCAATCAAAGAGCCTTTGGAGACTAATCAGACCTCAGCTAACTACCAGGAACACGAGTGGCGGGTGGATAAAACAGATTGATATAGATATTAGGGCCCGAATCACTTGGGAAGTTATATCTCAGAACGAAGTAGGTAGATATATCATTAGACTCAGTCTTAGTCTTACAGTTAGACTCCACATCACGATTCGTCATTCATAAATGATATAGCTATGGTGCTTTTTCCAAAACCCCATCGCGGTTCACTCCAAATGTTTTCTTTTCCGGAGAACGGAGGGCATCACATATGGTCGATACCTTGGAAAGAGGCTCTGCTTGTATAAAATGCGCGTAGCATACACCGATCATCGATGAATAGATATTCCTAAGAGGACTTACTTCCGCCCAATTATAAGATATTATGCAGTCAACTTGATGAGCTCATGACATGTGTCCATATAGATATTTCATCAATCGATGCGCGGATGATCTTTCTGGCACAATACCGGCAGGTACCTTAACGGTAAACGGTAGAAGGGCATCTAGAACCAGGACAAGCACAAGTTGTCATCCTTGTACTCGAGAACTTGATGTCAAACCTCAAATCCCGGGCTTTCTCCCAAGACCATTGTTGATCGCAGTGCTAGGACTTTGGTAGGACGATCCAGGCTTTACGGCTGGCTGTTCAAAATCACGAAGAGCTGGTGGAGCTTCAATCTAGACGAGTGATGCTGGCATCAATAAAAAATGTAAGATTACCCAGTATCAGAAATCATCTCTCCAACATATGGATGTTGCGGGATTTACTAGGCATTGGAGTAGATTGGCTGGTTCGATGGTGAATAAAAGTATGTTTGCCATCATAGTCGACGAAGATGTTGAGTAAATAAAGGGAAGGAGGGAAGTAGGGAACATCGCATCCCGAGGTCGTTATCGATAAGAGGATGGCAAAGCGGAGTGGGTGAAAGAGCTAAAAAAGATGATCAACAAAACCTTATGAAATAGTAAGGTTAAATCTTACCTACTAGAGCTACTCAAATCTACCCATCTATCTACTCCAGCTACCCACCAACTCTGGCTACCACCTACCTAGTATGGCAGCAAGTAGAAGTACCTACAGCTATCTGTCTGACCTTTACACACGCGCGCGCACACACACACACACATATGCATACATGATACATATACACAGCAAAATGATTTTCATTGTTCAAATCAAAATCCAAGACATACTTCCTACTTGTTACTTGTTATGAAACATACCATCATCACTCATCGAATTCATGAGTCGTGGACTTACTTATCTATGAACCTACCTAGCTGCCTACCTACCTACCTACCTACCTACCTACCCACTAGGCGCACATAATGAAAAGAGCCCACCTATGCTTTCACCAAGCCAACCTTGTTTATCCTGAACTTCTAACCTGCCTAGTAGGTCCTCGAATAATCGGCCATTTCAATCACTACATTATCTACTTATCTACCTACCTAGTACCTCCCGCCATACATGCTACCTCTACCCCGCTCTCATAAAGGCTTTCAATTTATTCATGGAACAATCAGCGTGAAACTCTTTTTGTGCTGTTGATTTTCTACACTTTCCTTTTTGCCGTGTTATGATCTTGTGCTTTCTTCTCTCGCATTCCAATTCCAATTCCAGTTCCAGTTCCAGTTCCAGCTCCAATTCGATATCAATCTGCGGGATATCCATCTTCCCTGCACTTCATTCATATTCCACAACAAAACTATATTAAAATCGCTTGACCCGTTTGGAACTTGGAACCTGGAAGTGAAATACGAGTAATTGATCCATCATTTTGGGAAAAGACTTGTCTAGGTACTTATTTTACTACTACAGTACTGTCCCTAACTGCCTCACATTTTACCTAATCTATGAAAACCCCCTTCACAGCTATCTACATATTTGTACTAACCCCAGCTCTCGGCTTCAGAAGTCAATCATAACTAACACACCCGATTCAGTTGCGACCATAACTCAGTCAGCTCCGCATCAAAACCCAATCCCAACCACCCTTCCCGCCTGATCTTACCTACCTACAGTTTCTCTTTCACTTGGTATTATTGTTCATATTTCCACCATACCATACCATTAATCTTACAAGATTGAATCCATCTTCAAATCATTCGACCTCTTACGGAGCTATCCAAACCGCCTGATCGTCCACCGTACGAGTTCCGTCAATCAATTAGAACAAGGGCCTTACCACGTACTGCCACCCTAAAACTATAACAAAACACGATAAAGTCAAGTCAAAAGGCCTTTTAAGGGCATCTACAACGCTTGAATAGGCAAACCTCAATTCATACACAACAGTCAACTATTCTTTGCAAGAGATCGCCAACGGCTTGGAGATCTATCCGACTTTCTATCACGGATCAGTGCGGGGTCGATAAGACAAAATGGATAATACCATGGAGGATGATGATGTTGATATGCCGTATGCGCCGCCGTTGCAGCAACAAGCTACTGCCTCTCGTTGCCCATATAATCAAGCTTCCCGAAATAGCATGCACAGGCCCAATACACGGTACCCAGCACTTATGAATCCTTGGACAGGTTACAGAGAAGGCTTCAATATGCCCACTTCGATGTATGGCACTCCCAATATGCCCTCATTTCCTTATGGCGGTGCAAACACAAGTTATGTAACTACCGGCTATGCCACACAGCATGCACAGTGGTCTCAGAATGCGCATGCTTTGGGCAATACAGTTTCAAATATTCAAGATCCACAACATCAAAATCCAGAGCTGTCGGGTAGTAGTGTACCGTTCCCTCCTATGTCAGTCCCCGCCGATTACCACTCTTGGCCGGGTCTTTGGCCTAATGAACCTCGCCCGATGCCCACGTTCGCCGAAGAAAATACCATAGCGGACAATAATAATAATCCTCAAGGAATGACCTATATGGGAAACAGCATGGCAGGTGTTTCTAGTGAACAAGGTAACTTGCCATCTCGATTGACCCGTTTATTTCATTTACAGGTTAATACCGGCTCCTAGCCTTCTGCTTTTCATGAGGTCGTAAAACCACCCCTAATCGCTGACACTCTCGAAATAGTTCAACAACGACGACGCGAGCGAGAGAGTCAGGATCTATATACTTCCCCGGCTGCTAATTCGGAAGCTTGTGAGTACACTCACTTCTATATCGGAACAGCTTGAAAACTTATTGCTGTCGTTTCAGCCAGCTCTGCCTGTCATTTCTTATGTCAACGTTTTCCTACTTTAAAAATCATACAAGGCAAATGCACAGGAGGCGAAGACCGTTCACTAACGAAGTTCTAGTTGGAAGTGCGTCTTTGCATACTACAGTTCCTGCCAGCACTCCTGAATGGGATCGGCCGACTGCCAGGCAAGCACGGCGTTTGGCTGAGGTTCAACGCAGAGCAACTTTAGCTCGTGCCAGTTATGGTGCCAGGTATGCTAATAGAGATCCTCTTAATAGAGATTCAGATACGGATGAAGAAGATCTTGAATACAGCGATGATGATGATGAACTGGGAAGCAATACTCGGGTATTCTCAAATCATTAATATGACGAATGGGGGCGGCACCTTGGCTGCCGTTTTACGTGGCCGTGGTGGGTTGGGTGGTAAAAGAATGCCATCCAAGGAGTTTTTGCTCTCACTCGAGACCCTGAATCCCAGTGATATGTCGGAAGAAGATCGAAGTAAGTCCAGTACAAAGTATCGTCACCTTTTTCTGATCACATCTAGGTTGTATGATTTGCTACAACGAATTTGGCGTAAAGAATCCGGAAGGCGTGAGCGAACAGCCATTACGTTTACCGAAATGTAGACATATATTTGGAGCTATATGTATCAAGAAATGGTTCAAGGAGAATGACAGCTGCCCGTATTGCCGGGACAAAGTTCTATCGGAATCTGCTGCTGCGAAGATGATAGTGAGGCGTGCTCGTCAGCTGATGCGGGATCAAAGGGATCAAATGCGAAACCGCCTCAGTGCAACAGCTCACTCAACTGAAGCCGGTCACCTCAATCCAAGGTACGTCCCTGTGAATCCTTCTCCGAAAATTGGCTAACGTGCTGGAAGCGCACTCAATTCACAGGAATCTCAAACCATGACCTTGGGCGATCGAACACCGCCAGTTTGGTCAAGACCATCGACAGCCGACACAGTAGAAAGCCGACGTCGTGTGTCCCGAGGAAGAACTGGGAGCCATAGAGCAGCGCATCCACCGACACGTCCGAACCCAATGACTTCCGCAAGACTCTACGCTCCCACTTCACCCTCACAATTGCAAAACGAAGTCAGCCCTCCAACACATTTACGCCATAATGCGAATGCGGAAGGTGTATCACCTGCGATAGCTGTTGGATCTACTACAAATAGCAGAGATCACCAGCCGACACCTCTTTCAGTCAACTCATTGGGGGGGAACTCAGCAAACTCGAATTCTTACATGGCCCCGAACTCATCGCGGGCAAGTTCGTCAATCTCGAATAGCTATATGCCTCCATTTGCAACTTCGTACTCTCAAGTTAGCCCGATTGCGTTTGGATCGATAAGAACTCCCACATTCGATCCGACCCAAAACGAGAATGCTGTCCACTTTTACAATTTTCAACCTCAGGCTTCTCAACAGGAGGATTCTGCTGTCTTTCAAAGCCAGCAACAAACTCTGCAGCAGTACCAGCAGCATGTTTTTGATCAGCAAGCTCATCAACAACGAGAGCGTGAACAGCACAGAGAGAGGGAAATGAGAGAAGTGGAACGGCGTGCTAATGAACAGCAGTTTAATTCGCACGGGAACGTGAGAGATTATTAAAGAGTACTTTCCATAAAACAAAATACTTTTGGAATTACCTCAAATTGCTAACACAACTTTCAATTTATTCGAACTCTTCTAATTGACTTTCTTAATGTCTTATCCATGCGCATATGGCAATAAATTGGGATATCTGAACCTTGCAGGCAAGGCGTACTGGCGAGGATAGGAGTTGCAGGTTTCTATACCATTCTGAATGGGGAAATCTCTTATGTGCCGGTGGTTCTATGAATATTTTACATGCTTCACTGGAAGATTGGTTGAAATAATGGTGGTGGTGATTGCGGTGGTGGTGATGATAATGATCTTCCACTTCTTGTTCAAACCAGCGTTAATGAGTATTAAGTAGCCAGCAATAAAAGTATCCAGATAACTTCTTGGACTGATACTCCGTGGGTGAGTGGTGAAAATAGTGTGTTAATGATCGCCGCTTCTATGACTTGAAATTTTGTATACGTTCGAGTTGAGATACATGGAGTATCACTGAGGTGTTTTTTTAATCGATGTAAATCTATGATTCGTGATTTCTGCATGAACCGATACGAGATTTTTTATAAAAAATAATTTTTTCTTTTGAGGGTACCTGGCAGGAAATCCATCAATTCATTTCCTGCGCAATGGGACGGCTACCCCACCTTGGTCTACTTTTATTAGTCCCACTATGCAAGGCTGACAAGGCTGACTCTTTCCATCAATAATAACTTGAAAGACAGGCGGTGGAATTTGGCAGAAAAAAAAGTTCCGTTATCACTTATCGGCTGAAGTACATGATTATTATAAAATAATCTTCACTCCCGCTCATTTGATAGGGACCTTCACACCTCTTCACAATCATTTTCTCCATAATTTAGATTTCATCTTCTGGTACCCATGTGTTATTCTGCGTTGATTGGTTTCACGGAGAATTGGATTTTGAAGCATTTCTAGCGACTTCAACATTTGAGAGCTTGGAGAATTCCTACCACAACAGAACTTTAGAATTCACTCGTCACCATGCCTGAGAAGGTTCTCATTAAATTCTGCGATGACGGTGATGAGGGCTCTAATGTTGCGAAACTGACGAGGTCTTCTAATGCGGAATCAACTAAATACAACCAGACAAGGTCGGAATCGCAACTCCATTCTGCGAAATCCGCAGGTACGAAACGTCTTAGAGATGGAAGTCCCAAATTGAATTCGAAAAGAAAGAAATTAGTGGCTGTGTCGGAGAAGGTGGAAGGTGCAAGCAGTGTAAAGTTGACCAAGTTCCAATATGCGGAAGAGGCAGATGCGGGCCGGAAGGAGGGTGAAACAAGAGGAGCGGCTCCTGAGGCTACGGGAAAAAGAATCAATGGCGCCAGTAGAGTCAAATCCCATGGAGATGTAAGGAGGGACAACGAGGACCAAATCCCCAATCTGGTAGTGCGTTCAACAGTGCCAAAAATGCACCTCCGGACAGGCATTTACAAAGAAACGGGCGAGGGGAACTCGAGCCATTTCGGC